TCTAAATTAGCCAATCAGGTGGGGTTTGAAAGGCGGGGGCCCTGATGAGGATAAAAGCCCGCACAACCACCGACTTGATGCATTGAGCAGATGCATTCATCAGACCCTTCACAAACAGATTTATCCAGACACCAAGACTTCCAAAGACCTTCACAGAGAACGCCACAACTCTCTGTCGAATTTTGCAGGGACCATTGATACCTCCGTAGTCTTCAACATTTCCAAGAACTCTGCAGACTGTGAGACCACCATGGATGGCTGCTTCAATCTGCAGTCTTGTAACTGGATCCTTGCAGCCCCAGAGGCTGCGGGACAAGGTGACTGTGTTGGGGTAACTTGTGCTGGCCTCAGCTCACTGCATATGGATGGTCCCCTCCCCAGGCACCAGTTAGGCTAGCTCTGGCCACGCCTCTGTGGAAACAACAAGCCCACCAGTCTGCCCTGATCTGAGTGCCCATCCGAGTGGACTTTCCCCCCTTTAGTATCAGGCTCTAGGAGTCAAAATTGAACCAATCAGCTGTGAGCAAAATGGACCAATCAGGAGGGAGTTAAGGGGACCAATTAAGTTCAAGTCTACTTCATTAATTATTCAGATTGAAAAATGGAAAATGAGCTGATTAGTGCTAAATGGTCCTGTCATATGCTTAGGATTGAAAATGGCCTAATTGGGCTTATACGGTGGAGTCCCCTGAAGAGGATATAAGGCAGAACAAGAGCCAACTTGAGGCAGATGGAGCAGCGGTCTCTGTGGAGGTCTATGGATGTGTGGAGATCTAAAGTCTATAAGGTTTACATTCTACAGAGGTCTGGTGAGTCCCATTGAGGTGGACCGCTTGATGCATCTCTCTCTTCGGAGTCCTGGAGCAGAATCTTTCTTCTTTGAAATGGTTTGATGAAAGCTTTCTCTTCAAACAGCAATATGAATCCTTCTTTCTTCTGAAGCTTGGTACAGAATGCTTCTTCAGAGGTGGTTCAATGCATCTTTCACTCTTCAGAGGATGGCTGCACACTGACTCCAGCTGGCTCTTGCTCTACCTCAAATATCCTTCAAGGCACTCCCCCCACAAGCCTGACTGGACCATTGTCAATCCTAAGCATCTGATCGAATTGTTTGAAACCTGAACAATAGACATCAAATTAATGTGATATTATAACTAGTTTTGATTAAAGTGTTAGAAATATTAAAAGTTTGCCAGGGAGGAACTTGCCTTCATTAAATCACTTCATAGAGCTCTCAGTTCCACAGCTACTGCTGACAGTGTGGACTCCAGCTGCTGCTTCACTTGAGCACCACTCCTGTAGTGCTCTTCTTCTCTTCATAGCCGATCCCTAAGTGTTCCAATAATAAGTCAGCATATTAAAGGTATATATGACTCTAGGAAGCATTGCAGAGAAAAAAATTTTGAAATGATAGAGTACAGTTAGGGTTAAGGTAACCTTTTTGCTCCATGTAGTTATTGGAACTCTCTATGCATAGTTTAGTTATGAATTTGAAAGGGAAGTTTTGCTTTTTAAGCAAGCTGGCAAATACACTAGAAAAAAATTTCAACTTCACAAAATATTACAGCTACTACTAAAAATGATTTGCAGTAGTGTGTCCCTGGTGGCACAGTGTTGAGCACTGGGCTGTGAAGCTGCCCTCAGCCTTTGTAGCACCCGTTCGATCCCCAGCCGCCTGCGAGGGTCCCACATGGCACGCAGACCTCTCCTCTCCTGCGCACAGACCTCTCCTGCCAAACCCGCTGCTCCCCTCAGCAGTGTACTTCGTCAGTCTGCCTGTTATGTTCCCCGCTCTGTCTCTGGTGAATTCTCTCACCTTCCTCCGCTTCTGACTGTACCCAGAGCATGTATCAATCAATAAATAAATCTTAAAAAAAATATTTACAGTGTAAGACAGCATCTGCAGATTTCTTTCACACAACATCCATCTGTTGAGCACTATAATCCAAGACTAGGTGAGGGAGTCTGTTAGCTGTTGCCCTACTCTTTTTGTGTTTATTCTTTTGCAACACTGTCCACTGAGCCTGTTGGGGTGCAGCCTTGGAGGAATGGACACCCATTTCCGGAAGGACCGACCAGTTGTTCAACAGGAGACCGAGAAAGCAGTGACTGGATGTTGCGCCCAGTCCCCTCCCCCCAGCGGCTTCGGGGAGGAATCCACAGGGAGGCTGTGCCAAGGGTCACAGCCCCTCGACCTTTGACCTCCACTGTGCATGCTGGGATGCGGAGGGGGGCTGCGAGGGGGGTACTTTGCTGGAGAGCCGCATCTTTCCAGCTGGCCTAGTGGAGGGGAAGTGGTTTCCAGCGTCTGCGCTCCTGCCCTCAGGATCCCCCTGCCTAGGGGCCTGCATTTGCTACACTGTTATCAGTCCTGGGGTTCCCTCCTGTGGCCTGGCGGGGTGTTTATATATCCGCGGAGAGAAGCAGAGGCCAGGACAGAAATGGAGAAGGAGGCTAGAGAAGCCCAGAGTGAAGACCTGCCGGGGCTTTTCATTTCATTTATTTATTTTTTTAGATTTGTTTATTTTTATTCAAGAACTGGGGTACAGGCCAGATGCGCGGGAGGGTGAGAGGATTCACCAGAGACAGAGCGGGTAGCAGAGCAGGCAGATTGGCTGAAATGCACTGCTGAGGGGAGCAGGGGGCGAGACAGGAGAGGTCTGCTGCGCCATGTGGGACCCTCGCCTGTGGCCGGGGCCTGGGACAGCTCCACAGTGTGGCGCTCAAACCACTGCGCCACTGGGGAGACCCCACTTTTCATTTTAAAAGTGAAGAGAAATCGAAATACTAATAAAATGCTAGTCATGAAAGTTGAAGTAGTTAGATTACAATCATGAAAAGTGGATATTCAGAAGAATAAAAAATATTGCAGATAAAGAGGTGACCACATAGTGACAAAGAGTTTGATTTATGGGACAATCCTAAAATGTGAGGTGATTGTAGTCTCAAAATCTGTTTTTAAAATTCCAGAGCAGAAGAAAATAATGAATATTACAATGGGCGTGCATAAATTAGAGACTTGATAAATAGAGAAAATCAGTGCAATCCAAATGACTAAAATCAAAAATAAAAGATTACCATGGATCATTCTGAAATTTAAAACAATTATAAGAAATTACTCTGAGAAATGACGTGCCAACAAATTGTGCACACTGGATGAAACAGACAAATTCCTTGGAATAGAAACGGTACCAAGTCCAAATGGACAGACCTCTCTCTAGGAAGAGAATGACTCAGTCAAAGAAAAGCCTCTTTGAGCACGCTTTTAACTGGGCTTTGGAAAGGCGGGTGATGTACAGTTCCTATTATAAGGAAAATTGCCTGGCATTTTCCCATGGTTGAAATCTCTTTGCATTAATAGCAATTATGTTTTTAATGTAAGTAGAAAAAGCATTTTCCATACAATCTCCAGATTATAAGACTACTCTGTCTAAGAGTTTATAGGAATATCTTTTACAATCTCTCAAAGGAGAAATAGATTTTGAATATTGGTTTTCCATAAGGTCATGGTTGAAGGGAGACCACAAGAGGGCACATGTTTTCTGCTTTAAAAGTTACTGTAAATTAAAAAAAAAAAAAAAAAAGTTACAGTAAACTAGCAGGAGGGCTCCTTTTCTTTTTCTTCTGTGTTTCAAGTCCTAATTACAGCCACCTCTTGAATTTATTATTCACATGCTTTCAACCTACTGGCATCTGTATCACATTTACCCTGTAGATGGAATTACTGATTTAGGAATGCCATGTGTTATACCACATGCATATTATGGAGGTTTGGTTTCCTAAAATTTGAAGAGGAAATGTCGAAGGGTGCTTACAAGTACTCTACCATGAAGTAAATCCAGGCACAGTGCCCTTCACTGTCCACCTCTGTGATATTTCTTTAGCATCACGTCAGCATATTTTTCCCCTCAAAAAACAACTACTGAATGTCCGCAAGAGTTCACAAATCAGTCACTGTTAAGTACTAACTTTTATAGAAAAGCAAGTATATGCTTCAGGATACTATATTATCCTGTCTTCTCCTTCTAGATTATTTTATTAATCTATATATCTAGATTACTAATATTTGTTTGAGTCTAGAATGTCAGTCAAAAAAGACTGCCTTTATTTAATTTTTCTCCTGCCAATTTTGTTTTATACTATAAGAAGTGTAGTGGCAGGTAGGGCCACTGAGCAGGATGTCTATGATCCAGAAGATGGGTAAAGGAGAGGCTTGGAGCCCTCCATGGCTTTCTCAGGCTTTTATTGAGCTTTACATGTAGTATGGCAAACAGGTACACAGCAGGTGGCGTGCTGGGGACCAGGAGTCCCGCAAGCCTCCAAGCCCCTGGCAAGTCTTCACTCTGGGATTCTCTGGCTTCTTTCTCCAGGTCTTTCTCTCCTGCCTCTTCTGCTGCTGCTTCTCTTGGTGGCTATCCCAATACTCCTCCCATGGCCCACAGAAGTAAAGGAGATAGCTTGCAGCAATGTAACAACTGCAGGGCCCCATCAGGCAGGGCTATCCCAATAGTGGGAGGGCAGAAAAGCCTGAAAAACCATTTACCTACAGAGGAATTTGGCTTTCTTACAATGCCTAAGAAATAAGATCAGGCTGGTTGTTCTATGAGTTTACCTGCTATGTTTGATTTGTGAAACTCTTTTGTATCGGCTGCAGAGCTGGAGATCACACCAAGTATTAGCTGAGACATGATGACATGCAAATGACATGGCATCGGAGTTGGTTTGTTTCTTAGGTTTCTTCCTTTCGACTGACACAACGCCCTGACCTTTCATCTGAGTATGGGAATACACTTTTCCAGGGAAGGATCCTCCATACTTTAGAAAATACCATCTGTATGAGAACAGGAAAGGAATTGGGATATTAAAGAACATAGTTTAGAACTTAACATTTTATCTCATCTGCTTCTTAGGCATAAGCAGTCTAGATCCAATCAAGCAGACAAAGCATAACCGAGTGCGCAGTCACCTGCTATCCTTACCTTTATCAGTAGGTAGTTTCATTCTCCTTCTGTTCCCCAGTTGTCCTCAACTGGGGACACTGTACATGTGCGCTGCATATTCTCTGTCCCCATCTCCTTCTTTTTCGTCCCACTCTCTCAGGTTAGCTAGAGCTAGTTTGGTGGGGGGGGGGGAAAGGGATATTGCCCACTGCTATTTATAACATGGCTTTCTAAATTTGTGTGTTAGTAAGTAATGTGATTATTTCTTTCCTACATTTGACCATGAGCTCTTCAGTGACAAGAACTGTGGCTTATTCATTCCTGCATTTGTTACCCATTGGAGACCCAAAGTTATTCAAAAGTGGGTGAGAATATAGCAGTGGCAGCAAAGAAAGGACCTTCCAAATGACTAATATGTAGCTGCTTATTCTCACTACTCAGACGGCCCTCCTGGCCTTTCTGTACTGCAGTTTTATTTAATTAAGATGTGGTAGACACATTAACTGAAGTGGATTCTGTACTAAGTAGATCCTTTAGGATTTTTTTCAGATGCCTTTTTGCTAAATGAGATAGGAGGTATCTTGTTGTATCTACTTATGAGCCCTTTTTCCTTTCTTCTTTCTTCCTTGTTAGGAATTAAAGCAGTAGAGTTGTTCCAATTTGTGTAATAAGCTGCCCCTAGGCATTATGAACTCCTCATAGTTTTCTTTTTCTGGGTTAAAATCGTAAGAGTTGCACCAGACATTGAGAAGGGGCTCTAAAGCTGAAACACGAATAATTCAGAAAGAAACTGAAGTCAGGATTAATAGTGCCAACAGCAAGAACTGATCATGAATATAATATGTGGGGAAACATTGATAAGTTGTGTATCAATATCATGGTAGTGTGGTCAACTCTTAACATCAATGGCCTCCGTTGAATCTTGACTGTCACTAATTGTGATATTCCGTGGTCCCTTCCCTTAATGACTCTGGGTTTGGCTAACTTGGTCAAATGAGACATTAGTAAGACTGACACATCAGTGGACTGACAAGTTTTTGTGCATTTGGAACTTGTTGGCTCTGAAACAAGTGAAAACAGGGCCCTGCTGAATTGGGATCAGGTTCACAGCACTCATAGTAAAATTTTTAAAGTATTTACTTTAACCTTGACCTTAAATTCCTTTTTATATAACGAAGTGAGTTTCCCATTTTCTGTAATAGATTGATACCCAGAAAGAAATAGCAGAAAACAAACTGGAGATTGCTTAAGGGAAAGAAAAAATAGACATTTCATTAATGGAAGTATTAGATAAGGAGATATTGAAGGTTGTACTCAGCACACAAAAAGTAAAACAAACAAATGAGGTCTGAAATATTGTTGACATAGGACTTTGAAAGGGGGAAATAATTTAATATTTAACTAGGTCAGAGAGTGACTATAATCTGAAAAAATTTATCCGAAAAAATAGTAGTAATGCTCCCAAAGGGGAAGCAAGTGCAGAAGGTAAATGAATAGTTGGAGAAGTTCTCTGGAAGCATAGAAGAGCTAGTCAGTGGTTACAAAAAAATCAATGGATTTTTCTATTTATGTTTTAATTTTATTTTTCCATATGTATACATGTTCCACTCACCCTCCAACAAATCACTCATGTCAATACCCCCTTGGCTTCTCTATACTCACTGCCTACTCACTCTCCCCACCCCATTTCCTCTGTAACCATTAAATTGTTTCACTGAGTTTAAGAACTATTCCTGCTGTATTTTGTCTGTGTGTTTTTTGGCTATTCATGCTTCTCAGATGAGTGAAACCATCCAATATCTATCTTTCACTTTCTGATTTGTTTCACTTAACTTAATTACCTTGAGGACTATCCATTTTGTCCCCAAAACCACTATTTCATCTTTTTTTCACATCTGTATAGTATTCCATAGATGTTTAAGCCAAGATTGTGGACCATAAGTTTAGACTACTTCATGCATTAGTAAGTACATTTCAAGGGATAAAGTTACATATAGATTCATGTTTTACCTGAGCTCTGTGGACCAAGAACTTCTAGAGTTAAATCTTCTCCAATAAGAAGCACACAGAATAGAAACCTTAGAAAGGAACCAAGAAGGAAAAACTGATCAACCTATGGCTGAGGCAAGGATCCTGAGAAGGAATTTGGATAAGTTTATCTAAGTTAGTAAGGTAAAGATGGACAAAACTTAATTAAACAATGAATGGTTTGATAATTCAGAACCTAATAGTTCCGGCCTCAAAACAAACACATAAGTCTTTGTTAAAAAAAAAAAATATATCTGATCCCCAAATCAAGTTAAAGCAATGGAAGTAGAGAGCTCAGTCCTAAAAATCATGGCTGGGTTATAGATTTTTCCAAGATGTAGGGGTCAAGATAAGATTTGTAAAAGTAAGGGAACCTTCTGGAAAGGAGTAGGGGAATGAATTATATGGGATTGACTGGGCGGTAGTTGCCATGGATCTCCAACATTGAAAATGACATGACATTTCATTGAAGTAAAGTTACCTAGGGTATGAAAAGTCCAAAGGCTGATTAGTGGCCACCTTTTGGGGGAAGAAACATTGCAGATGCTTTGGTCCTTCCAGGCATCCAAGGGCCACAATTTCTATTATACAAGATATTATACCTGTTTCAGAAAAGACAGTTAAATTTCTTCTGTGAAATAGCTGGGTTTAGTGACTTTAAGAGATGGCCATTTTTAGCATTCAGTTTAAGTTCTTCTATAGCAGGGTGAATCAGGTTTCTAATTGTTCTCCAGGAAACATGATAATTTGTATTGTTCTAAATATGTGTTTATGCCATTTCTTTTAAAATTATTAACATTTTCATGTGTTTGGAAAGCTTTTTTTAAAATCTGTTATTTATTTATACTTTTGATCCTTTTTTCCATTCATAACATTAATTGTGGCTATTCTCTTTCTTTCTTTAAACAGGTTTTCAAAGCTCTCTCTATCTACAACTCCTTTAAAGGAACCAGGTTTTGATTACATTGTTTAACTCTGTTTAAAAATCTTTGATCACTCTGTTTCTTTCATTTCTACCTATGCCTTTACTTCCTTCTTCCAGCTTTCTTCTTTTTCTGACTTGTTAGGTTGACAGTTTCTTATTTTCCAATAAGTGCATTCAAAACTATTAACTTTTACTGAAGTGTTGGTCTAGGTACTCTCCAGGTTTTGATGGGTAGTGTTCTAATTATAAATTTTTTTTTTTTTATAGAGGCATGCTTTATTTATTTGTTTGCTGGTTTGTTTGTTTTGTTTATACATGCACTGGGTACAGTCAGAAGCGCGGGAGGGTGAGAGAATTCACCAGAGCCAGAGCGGGGAGCAGAGCAGGCAGAAGGACCGAAGCACACTGCTGAGGGGAGCAGCGGGCGGCAGGAGAGGTCTGCGCGCCATGTGGGACCCTCCTCCGGTGGCCGGGGAGCAGCCTGGGATCGAACCGGCTCGCAGAGGCTGCGGGCAGCTTCGCAACCCAGCGCTCAACCGCTGCGCCACCGGGGAGGCCCTCTAATTATAAATTTTTAAAAATCTAGTAATTTCCTTACTTTTTTAAATCATGAATTATTAAAAGTGGGATTGTTTCCAAATCTATTTGGTTTACATGGTTCATATATTATGTATATTATCGTTATATTACCAGAGAATGTTCTGTATAATATCGATTCTTTTCAATTTGTTGAGGTGTATTTTCTGGATATATTTTTTTTTTTTTTTTTTAGATTTATTTAGTTACACAAGAGCTGGGGTACAGGCCAGAGGCACGGGAGGGTGAGACAATTCACCAGAGACAGAGTGGGGTGCAGAACAGGCAGATCTACTGAAATACACTTCTGAGGGGAGCAGGGGATGAGACAGGAACTGTCTGCCGTGCCAAGTGGCTATCTCCCTGGTGGGTCCGGAATTGAACCCTCACTGCAGAGGCTATGGACAGCTTCATAGGTCTGCACTCAACCCCCTGGGCCACTGGGGAGGCCAATATATGGTTATTTGTGTAAATGTTTTTGTATATGAAAATAATAGTTATTGTGTTGAGTGTAAGATTCTTTATTCTTAAGTACATTTGTGTATCATAATAATTTTATCTGATTGTCTTATCTGATTCTGAGCAGGAAAGATGTACCTCCTACCATAAGTCTGAATTTGCCAACTTAACCTTGTATATCTGTTTGTTTTCTTTAAATATAGAAGCTATTTTGGTTACAATCCTCCTTATAAGTTTGCTTTGTTTACAAGCTTGCTCCTTTTATATATATCAGATATCTCTTTGCCTCATTAAATATTTGATACTTAAAAATATCACTACCATATCTTGATTTATTATTTTTTTTTTGTAATTTTGTTATGTCTACTTTTAAACTTTGGTGTTCATTTGTTTTCGGTATGTCTCTTATTAGTGACATACAAGATTTAAAAAAAACCTAATCTGAAAATTTGTCTCATAATAGGGGTGTTCAACCCATTTGAACTTCTATATCACATATTTTGGGATTGATTTCTATTATACTATTTTGTGTTTTCTGTGTTATCTTGTTTTATCCTTTTACATAGCTGTGTTACGTGCACATTGTAAACGTTAGTGGAACATTTTAGATTTTTTTCTAACATTGCTTTTGCATAAATCATTACACAAATTATTACTTTATCATGAGAAATAGAACAAGCAGGTCTGGTTTTCTTTTATCGATTAATATTTTTATACATAGTAAATGTATGCGTCAGATTTTACTTTTTTAATTTCTTTATTGCTGTGATTCTACGTATTTGAGGATATGAATATCTGATTTTAAAAAAAGCATGTGATCTTTCCCCAGGCAAAATGTTTGTGTTTGCTTGTCAAGGTTGTGCTTGTTTTTAGGAGTCTATGGCTCCCCTGGAGTTCAGTCTTGATTTAATGGTTTGGTGAGGGGAGAGCAGAGCAAATCCTGTGATATTTATGCTGCCAATAATACAAATGACACAGCTATATGATTTAAGATTTGTTTCTTCTTTACATGTTCGCTGTGTGGAATTTGCACGTGTGATATGAATTGTGATAAGGGAGGGTGTGTAAACTTTATTTTTTTTAAGATTTATTTCTTTATACAAGAACTGGGATACAGGCCAGAGGCACGGGTAAGAGAATTCACCAGAGGAAGAGTGGGGAGCAGAACAGGCAAACGACCTAAAACACTGTTGAGGGGAGCTAGGGCGAAACAGGAGAGGTCTGCTACACCATGTGTGAATCTCCCTGGCCGGCTGGGAATAGAACCTGCGCTACATAGGCTGTTGACAGACACAAAACGCTGTGCTCAAGCTACTGTGCCACCATGGAGGCCCGGATTTGTAAACTTTAACACAAGACAAAAAGAAATATGGGGCCAGAAAAATTGCTTACCTACATTGCTGATAATCAAGCCTCATCCAGAGCAAAACAGGAAGCCACGCTGTATCATTTGTACCTGGACCTCTAGTCCTTTCATGGATCATTTGGAGGTGACATTGTGTACTGGTTAGGACTCTGTGGTCTGGCCCCTGTATTCATGTCCCAGCTTGGCAGTGTCTGAGGTTTGTAACCTTGGGCAAATTAAATGGGGATATTAGAATATCTGCCTGTAAGGAACTTAAGAAAGTGCTGGCACTTTCTAAGAACTGAGTAAATGCTCACTAAATGACAAAATGACTATGACAATATTTATATTTATTTATTTATTAAAAATTTATTCATTTATTTATACAAGCACTGGGTACTGTCAGAGCACGGGAGGGTGAGAGGATTCACCAGAGCCACAGCAGCGAACAGAACAGGCAGAAGGACCGAAGCACACTGCTGAGGGGAGCAGCGGCGGCAGGAGAGGTCTGCGCGCCACGTGGGACCCATGCCCAGCGGCCAACCATTGAACTGGTGCTGCAGAAGCGGCAGCCCAGCGCTCAACCTCTGCGCCACCAGGGGAGGCCCTACAATACTTATATTTAGAACGGTTGTTTTAGTTAAAAGAAGCCTTTCTGACTTTATTTTTCAGCCAGCAAAGTGAACTCATTAAGACAGTTTCTTAGACTTTTTGTACGTTGTCCTAAGCATGTTTCCACCTGGACAATCCCTGGGAAGGATGGAGTGGGATGGGCTAGTTCTCAACCTAGAACCATGCCATAGCAACTGCTTAGAATGCGGACTATCTGCAGTGCTTTCCAAGCCTACAGATTGAAATTGTGAAGCATTCTGCATTTCCTTTCCATGATTTGTGGTGTAGATCTGGGGTCATTCGATACAGCTCTTCGTTTTGACTCTTTGGAGAACTTTTGTGGGAAACACCACTAACGCTGTGATAAGGGGGAAATTTCAGAAGACTGGTTGTAATTTTAGAAAGGAGATACTTAGAAATAAATGATGATACATTTTTACACAAATTGATTTAAAGAATTGAAAAAAACTTTAAAAACTTTAGACGGAAGGTCTGGATGTGATAATATTCAGGCATTAATTTGGTGCCTGAATAATTTAAACAACATATGGTAGCATTTATAAAAATGTATAGGTAAATGATCAAAATTAATTAATTAGACATTTATATTTCTGTCACATGCTTGGAAGGATGTCTCCTTATTCTCTGGGATCAATGGGCCTTTTGGTGACACACCAGGGACCAGATGGAAAACATTAGCTACTATTTGCCATACTTGTCAAAAATGTTTTGCAATCATTACTCTTATAATACAACATAGTCGTGAAGTATAAAAACCAGTACTAAGTCACAGTAAAGAAACAGTCATAATAAATTGAAGCATTGCTGTGAAATGAAAACTAAGCTAGATTTTAAAATGAAAGTAAATATGAATCATATCTTAAGCTGATTAGAAATTATAAATTAAAAGCTATACAAAGATAAAATGATAGGGATTTGATTTTTGCTTTCCTGAAATCTTTGCATAATATTTAGATGTATTTTTATCATCTAAAAAGCACAAGCTATATCTTACACTTCACAAGTCATCGCTTAAAAACTGGTAACAGTTTGTCATCAGCAAATAAGAAATGGGTTAATGAATTTTCATTTGTTAACTAAAGAATATTCTGAAGAACTTGGTTTGATTTTATCATTGTTATCAAATCAGCTAAGGCTTTTTTTTTTTATTTAATATTTTACCAATTTTTTTGGAAATTTCATTCTTTATTTTTTAAAAATTTATTTATTTATACAAGCACCAGGTACAGTCAGAAATGTGGAAAGGTGAGAGTATTCACCAGAACCAGAGTGGGGACCAGAACAGGCAGACTGACAATGTACACTGCTGAGGGGAGAAGCGGGCACGGCAGGAGAGGTCTGCGTGCCATGTGGGACACCCTCTGGTGGCTGGGATCAAACCAGTGCTGCAGAGTCTGTGGGCAGCTTCCCAGCCCAGCGCACAACTACCGCACCACCGGGGAGGCCCCCTAAGGCTTCTATTTTTGACAGATATGTTCAATATGAAAATAATCTTTGTCATAATTTCAGGATTTAATTTTTTTCTGGCTTACTGTTGTCATTTCTCTGAAGTGTCTACATTATAGCAGAGTTAAAACATCTGTCTAATATTAGATTGGCAGGGATTTAGAGAGAGAAATTCACAACAATGGCTGCACAAAATCCTTTCTGTTTTATGCCTTTGGGTGTAAAATTAAGACACATATGACGTTATGAGGCATTTGTATCTGGAGCAACATCTCAGAAAATGTAAACGAAGTTCTGAATTTTTCCCTATTTGGCCAATGGAACAATAAAAATAATTCCCTATCATGTCAGCAGCCAATTTGTGAATGTACATATTTTTGAGGAGAACCCCCCCCCCCTGCAGCTCAGGATGTTTGCACAGGCATCCAAATCCAGAGGGTTAGATTACAAATATTTCAACTGGGAGTGAAATGAAGAATCCTTCCATATTTCTAGCAATAGAGGAAAAGAAACAAAAATTTCCAAAAAGCAGAATTTTTCAATGAAACTCATTTCCTAATAGCCTAATATTTACTGTCACAGGTGTACCAGGCTGTCCTCTGAAAATGTACTCAGTAAAACCGATGCAAAAGCAATAAAACCATTCTTTGGGGAAACTTCTTTTTTGGATTCCATTTATTGATAATTTATTTGAAATGAAACTGTAGCATGTTCATATTGTGTCCATTTAGGTCTCGTTTTGTGGGTGATTTCAAGGGTCTCTTCATAAACAGTAGCAGTATCAAGTAGCTCAGATTAGTGAGTCTCTTATGATGGCTTTTAGGTCCACAGTATTTCTTTCAACTGATTTCTCTTTGTGGATATATGACACCTATTCCCAAAGTATCACCTGGAGTAATTGTTGAGGAGCTTTTAAAAATCACAACGCCTGCTCCCAAGGCTCTCAAGAGAACCTTCTCCGGCCCAAAAAAGTAAGTAGCTTTCAATGGTGATGAGAGCTAAAAGGGCACTGGGAGCAACAGTTCCAGGGGATCACTGTTGCCCCTCTGCTTCAGCTGGCAGCTCACTGCTCCTTGGTGTGTGTGTGATCTCACAATCACAAAAGAAGTTTAAAAGCAGGGCGTAGCTGATTAAAAGTGACAATGAAATCCTACTGGCACAAATGAATTGGTTGAGTGCAGTTACATGAGTCACACACACATGTGATAACTATGGCTAACATATGTTTAGCATTTATTATGTGTTCTTTATATATTATTTAATTCTTAAAATAGCACTGTGATGTAGGCATGATTAGCCCCATTTTACAGATAAGGAAATGGGCCTTAGGGATTAAGGAATTTGTCCCAACTACCTAGCCACTACACACAGCAGCTGGAAATACTTTCATGGTTCTCTGAAAAGTCATATTTATAAAACCTTCAAAACCTCTAAAACCCATGGTCTACAAGATTCCTGGGTACATGACTAGCCCCTGACAACACCTCCTCACCAACTCTTCTGGAGACCCACCATATTGCTAGGTCTTTGGGTAGAGAGTAAATTGACACTTGCCCTTAATGAGAAATAGCCTAGAAGCTTAAGGGAGATAAAGTGAGACAAAGCTAGAAAGACTCATAAAGAAACGGCTAACACAGTTTATTCACCTGGGGAAATCTGGTCAATGAGTGAAAGGAAAGAACAATAATTGTCTAATAAAACTACCCTTCCTTTTCCTGACAGAAAATCTGAAAAAAAGATGCTGCTTTTAGTATATAAAAACAGAGAGTTGAAAGGGATCTCAAGAAGCAAAGAACAAATGAATTCTAGTTTCCTTGTTTAAAAACAAATTCTTGAACACAAGTCTTGATTTTAACATTTTTTAGATATTGTGATGTTACTTAATAGCAAAAGATGGTTGACTTTCAGGTCTTAAGCTTCTCCAGAAGGAAAAGTCTGGTCTGCAAAACATTTCTAGCTAAAAAGCTTCAACAAATTCTGGCAATAGTTTGGAATCGTGAACAACCTTGTTCTTTCTCAAATTGTTCTACTCAAAAGTCTCTTTTATTTACTCCTAGGCAAATGGTTTGGGTTACCCTAAACCCTGCTGCCTCCCCGAATTCCCCTCCAGTCACATTTCCACGTCGACGCTCAAAATGAATCTGGGTCTGTGCGCCTGAGCAGGGGGGCCAGAGCCGCCAGCTGTAATGTGCCCGGGCAGTGTTTTCCCTTTGGACTGCCAACCTGAGTCAGGGCCGAGAGGGTGGGTGATTCAAGATGAAACGAACATTGGCTCCATCTAAGTTTTTGGTTCTGATGCGTAGGAAAACGTCTTTGTCATGTGTGCCAGGGAAATGCAAGTTTAGTAAAAATAGGCAGGGAATTGTTATATAAAAGTAAAATTGCTTGTATGACCTCAGGACTGGGATATTAAAGTGCTATCTCAAGAGGGGGAAATATAACTGGAGGTGTATTACAACTTCCCATTTTTTTCTGTTTAATATATTTTATTTTATATAATTCTTACATCATTTTTCATTTTTGCACAATGTATGCATTTTCATTTTGGTTACATACCCAATACAGACTAATTATAATAAAGAAAAAATCAAAATCAACACGCAACTATAAACCAGAGACACACTAGGGTGGGGGTAGGAGAGGAGGGATTGGGGTCAAAATAAGGGGAGTTCAATTGTATGAGAAACAACTCACCATTTTAATGTAGATTAGAACTTGAGTTCCCCTTTGAAAGGATTTTAAGGGAATACTTTGGCTTTCAAGAATCTTGCTATTGTTTTCTCCCAGATCACGAAAGTATTAGAAAGTGATGACTCACAAAACCAAGAAGAATCTTCTCATTAGCTGATGTGAGACTATATGACTATATATTACCCTTTAAAACGTATCTACAGAAGGATATCACTTGAATTCTAATACTGATTCATAATTTTAGGTAATTTTTACATGGAACAATGAATTGATGTCCAAATTGACATCAAGGACATT